TGTATGTAAAACTGATTTAGTTTTACATACAATTTTCAAAATCTTTTAGTGAACTGATCAAACTTTTTCTAAAAACAATCAGAAATAATGAAGAAAAATGATAGCAGATGTATTTATTTTATATAGAATTTTACTATTCTGCATGACTATCCTGCATGAATATTATAAACAAATAAATTTAATAATGTATTCTAATCATAGTTGTAATTTCTGGGGTAACCTTTATAAATTTGCTTTTAAATTTTTTTTTAATATTTACTTGTAGATAACTTAAATATCTTATTTATAAAGATATTGTAATTAAATATTAATAAAAATGTAAATTGTTATAAAAAGTTTTTAAAACGATGAGAAATTCATCGGTCTTATCATACAAAAGCACTAGTGCTTAAGTAGTGCTATTTTAAAATTTATTTATTTTAAGCTACATATTTTAACATGTGAACTTTTTCCTTGGCTTTGAAATGATCCATTTTATATATAACATGTTATGTGAGTACACTTCCATAAATTTAAAATCACTCAAAATTGAACTAAGAATGCACAAGTCTTGTGTCAAGAACCCTACTAAACATAGTCTCGTTCTAAGCAATCCAGGGACCAAATGAAGCTCATGTAACTTTAAAATTAAAAAGAACAGAACAGTTTATATTAAAATGCATGGTGAACTTTCTTCGCCCTGCAGGTGAAACTTCAGAACTTATTTTTGGAGATAAATGCGTACATAAAAATAACTTTTAAAAATCTTCAACATGTATTTTCTATATAAATACAACGGAAATTTCCGTATTTGAAAATTTAGCTACAAATACGGAAAATTTCCGTACATAATCGATGGTTACATCCATATATGGACATACGGATACTTTCCGTTGAAATAACGGAATAAATTTCCGTTTTTTTAACGGAAATTTTTAACAGTGTATCGTAACTTGAGCGTTAAGTTTAATCCTTTTAATAGTTAAAATGCTTAAATCTCACTTAAAGTTAATAATTTCAGGTGCAAACGGCAGGCCTTATGGTCCTGACATGAATTAATTTTGTATTAATATTTTTTTCCTTGGTCTGAATCATCACTTAGTACTTCTCTATATCAAATCTTATCAACCAACAGTGTTACCATTAAACAGCTTTGTAATTGTCTGCTAGCAGAAAGTCTGCATATTGGTTTGATTTTATGATGCTAATTATCTTGCTATTATCATCGCAAAGCTTGATCAGGTGTACAGATTTTTTTTAAAGATTACCAATATACAAAAAAAAAAAAATGGTCTTAAACCCGACGCTAACATTTTTCCAATTTGAAATGTATTCTACAATTTTGAAACTCTGCTTTCTTCCTAAAAGGCACGCTTTGATCCATGCATGGAACAAAATGTATTTTACTGGGATCAATGATTATGCTAAATCTCTAAAGATGACGTCTGTAGCGTATTCCTGGTACATAGCTTATGTCATAATATCAAAAGTCTCAAGAAAGTTTATTAAACACAATTTTATAAAAAAAACCTTTTTTTTTTTAAATAAGACAATTTGAAAATGCAGTAACTCATTATCTTGTTGTAAACGGTCTGAGAATGTGTAAGTGGAATGGAAAACGCTTTGGCACAAATTTGAGTAGTCATGGATGGACGCTGCCTTTATCCATTGACTTGTTCTCGCTTAGGGCAAAGTTTCTTCTATACTTCATCATGTGTTATAAATTTCGTCAGCGTTGTGCATGCTACTTCTGCTTGTGCTTCAAAACTTAGACTTTGTAGCACAAAAACAGATTGAATATGCTATGCATACATATTGTCAAAGCTATTTTGCATTGTTTAGATTTGTCTGATGGATTTATCGATGATTGCTAACATTTATAATAAAGTTGTTTAAAAATTAACTAACACAATAAGGTTTGTAGCAGAAGACACAATTGTGGTGCCCAAAAAATAGAATATTTGAAAACCAACATTTTGTTTTAAATTCCACTTCTAACCAGATAATGTAACCGATATCGTTGTATCATATGACCGTGTTATGGTTATGTATTGTATTGCTGTAGCGAGTGACCGTGGCGCAGTGGTTAGAGCGCTTGCTTTATAAGCAGAAGATCTAGTTTCGAAACGAGCTTTTGACATCTTTTGCATCACGGTAAGGAAGGATGCGTGAGTTTACTGGTTAAATGCACTTCCGCGGTGCTCAGTGACAAGACCGTTAGGACTTCTTGGGGCACTTAAATAACAAATTTAAAAAAATATATGATAACACTTAACAATGACAAGGCTGCTTCACAAAAAATGGCATTGTTATGATTAGGATAGCTAATTATCGCAATGTTATTACATAAAAAAAGATTAAAAGCAATGAAATCTATTACAAAACGAACGAAAAAATAAAACTTTCATTTTCACGGGCGTGAAAATGTAAGTTTTGTGGGTGTTAATATAGACAGTTTCAACTAGACTTTTTTAATCTAGTTTTCCATTTTAACATTGGCAGACAAGCAATTGTTTTATGTTTAGAAAAAATAAATTTGCGACCCTAAAAATCTTGATTGAAATGATGAAGATAAACTAATTAATAACAATTACACATAACCAAATACAAAAATGCAGAACGCACTAAAAAATTTAGGCAAGTAGTTTGTAGTGCCCAGATTCAATGAGACAAATGTCCTTAAAAAAGAGGGAAACCGATATTAAACAGATGTATATTATGCTTTAGGGAAGAGAAACCGATATTAAACAGATGTATATTATGCTTTAGGGAAGAGAAACCGATATTAAACAGATGTATATTATGCTTTAATTCTTATTTTATCATGATAATTTTGAATTTTTTTATGTTAAAACTGTTTTTGTTTTTCTCAGATAATGAGTTTTAAAGAATTTTTAGAATAAGTGCGTTTTGTTGTCTTTTACGATTTAATCGTGTCAGACTTCTTATAAAATATTATTTTTGCCCAATTTTAGTCTAATGTTTTAAAACTTATATGGTCTATTAAAAATTTATTTAAAAATCTGTTCCGCTTTTATAACAGACCAGCCCTACAGGCATAAGTATGTAAAAAAAGCACAGTATTGGTTAAACTTTAAGCTCAGAATCTAGGGCCTTAGGTTAGATGCCGGCTCTAGACCAATAAGCGACATTGGTAAGAAAAACGGCGTGAAATTTCCACATTAATGCTCTTGCGTAGTGCTCTGTGATAGACCTTGGAGACTTCTGGGAACACCATAATAACCACACACACGAAAAAAAATGTTTTATTAAAATTGTGAATATCTTTTAATACATAGGCAAAATGTTTGTTGTTTTGGTACAGGTGCCATTTTACAAAAAAGAAATAGTTGCGTTTCAGGTAAGTTAATTCTATAAAATAATAATAGATAGTTTTCACATGATGTTAAAAGTGCGCGGCCGCCATAATGTAAAAGTAAAAAAACATGTCAAAGAAAATAAATTAATTAAACGTTCGTTAGCAAACATATAATAATACTTTATGGTGTTTCATTTAAAAACGAACAAAGTTTTTTCTTTTGATTAAGTTTATTTAGAATTTAGTTCTATATTTTATAGACTATGTTTTTGAAAAACTTTCTAGACACGTCAGCAAAAAGTTTACATAGCTTTTTAACAGTTTGAGCTTCTTAATAATCTTATAATTATTCAAATATTTTTACATTTTTTAAAGTTTTTTACATTACCTCTAAAATGACATTTACGACCTTACTATTGTTAATAATTTTTAAAACTACATTAAAAAAACTAAAAGCAAATTTTGTATTAAACTATCATAATATTTAATTCGTATTTTTTTTGTATTTATTTCGTATTATTTTCGTATTTATTTTGTATTATTTTTGTATTTATTTCGTATTATCTTTGTATTATTTATATACATTTTAAAGTGCTAAAAGAAACTAAAATTTTAATAGCTTTTTCTGGTGAATCATTCTAAACATTTTCCTTATGTATAAGATATGTAAGTTATTAAATTCAAAACAAAATTGAACATTATGTGCAACAATCAATTACAGAAGGTCCTAAAAATGTAAAACACAAGTAATTAAATTTATTAGCCTTGTCAATTTTTGAAGTATATTACTGAGAGTATTCTGCTGACAGAAATGTCGTGAATTGATCCAATAGTAAAATCTAAAATTGCTCCCCTAATAAAAATTATAGGGCGTTTCCACCTTAAAATATAAAACTTTTAAAATTGATTGCAGATGAATATTTTATTCTTATATAGTTATAAGATTTTTTATATAAAAAGAATAAAAGATTTAATACTTTAAAATAGAATATTTTGAATATTTTAGTATTAAACTTTTTAATGAACCCCTAAAAAGCTATTTATTGAAAATATAATAGAAAATAATAGAATAAAGAATAGAATAGAATTGAATTATATTCAAAAAAAAAACAAAAAAAAAAAAAAAAAAAAAAAACGATAATTACTATTTGTTTATTAAAAAAATGAGATTAGTGAATTACAGATATACAATATGTTCTAAAAAAATTTAATTCATTACATACCGTTGCCGTGGAATCTAAGGATGCCTAGCCACCAAAAAAGAATGCTGAGAAAATTGAAAAAAGTACTCAAAATTTTTTTTCTTAATGTGCGACGCTAATTTGTGGCATTTTGAACACTTTGTAATTCGAATAAATGTTAAGTGGCTTGCTTCCTTATTATCAACGGCAACAAAGAAGAAATCTTACTTTATCAGTTATGTTTTTTTACAAACATTAAAGCGATATTTAATTATATTTATAAGATAATATTATAAGAAACTTATTTTTTTTCAAAAGTTTTATCTGTTTTTAATAATGCGACATTAAGAATAAAAAAGGTAATATTATATAGTAATATTCTTTTGTTATTGTAAAAATATATACTAGGGATATTATGGGTATTTGAAATTGAATTCATATTTATTAGGCTACTTTCTTTATTAAAATAAAGCAACAATTATCTTTTTTTTAAATGTTACATATAAAATTGTGTTTAAATTAGTTTAAAAAAACATCGAGAAAGAAATGATCGCCTTTCTTTTCGTTGGCGTAGTGCTCACAAATATTTTGGGTTAGTTAAAGTTCTGTAAGATTTTCTATATAAATTTTTTTTTTAATTACAATTCAATTATATATATATATATATATATATATATATATATATATATATATATATATATATATATATATATATATATATATATATATATATATATATATATATATATATATATATATATATATATATATATATATATATATATATATATATATATATATATATATATATATATATATATATATATATATATATATATATATATATATATATATATATATATATATATAGTACATTGAATTATATTCTTATAGTTTGTAGTTTCTTTAATTTGTTTTCATTTTCCAGTTTTTCAGGTGCTGCTGTTAGGCCTTATCTTTTCTTTCTGGAATTATTTTATTGATATTTTGTTTCTGATCATATAACAAAGTTTAACAAAGAATTTTTTAGAGTAAAGGTATATAATAAAACTAAAGCTTCTCCTTTAAAAGAATAATTTAAACAGAAAGTACTCTAAGAAGGTATCGATAATAAAACACTGACCCCATTTCTTTGAGTCTCTTTAACTACCTTTTCTGAATGTACATAATATATAAAATTTTAAACTTTTTTTTTTTTTTTTCTTTACAAAAGAATATTTAAAAAAATATATATAAATTAAAAAAAACCTTACAAAATTTAACTGTTGAACTTTTTTGCAAAACATTTTTGATTTTGTGTTTTGATTGAAACTATTTTATTATCGCGATAATAATATAAGAATTGGTTTTAAACAATTACAATAGACTTTTTCATTAAACACTCCTTGATACGAAGCTGCTTTTGTTAAAATCAAAACAAACCCGCGTTTTTAAAAATGTTGGTAATGAAATCAAATTTAAATAAAAATAAAAAAGTAGCTTTTTAGTTTTCTTTGTGTTTCATTTACATCGATAAATAAAACCATGATGAATTGTAATATTAAAAACATTAATAATAATGAGAATAATGTAAGAATAAAAATAAAATTAAATCAGTGTAGTAAAGATTAAAATTCTTGTTAGCCTAACCCAACGATATATTATATAAACTAGATGTCTAACTTTAATTCAAAAAGTAAAGCTTTTTGCCCATTTTACAAATAGCGGATTAAGGTTGTAAACAAAAGTTTTAACTTTTCTTTTCTTAAATGAAGTAAATATAATTTAAATACTAGTTATGTGTGTTTGTGGCTGGATAGCTCAATTGGTTAGAGCGTCAAACAAAAAGTTAAAACCCGGATTGTTGTCATTCATAAAAAAGCTAAATTAAAATAAAAAACGACCACAAATATATTTGCAAATAATGAATAAGAGAAAATGAGCAATGTACTACTGTTTCACGTTCTGCGAAACAGTAGTACATTGCTCATTTTTTCCTACGTACGAATGTACGATAAATTTGGCATCGAATGGTATGTTAAATATCGCTTATTTGTTGTCTCCTAAGTCCGGAAATCTCAAAGCAATCAGTCTTCTCAGGACGTCAATCGGAGATAAACCCATAAGTTGACGCTGCTCGACTTCGGCCTAGTAGCAATTATTAAACCCTTAAATGGGCCGAACACGGAGCATCAAAAGTATTATCGTTAACATAATAACAGATTAAAATACTAACGTTAATATAAGATAATAAAAAAATAAAAAAAATAAAAACTCTAAACTAGTATTATAAAACACCTAAAAAAAGGAAATGATAACAATATCAGCTGGGATGGAAAGTGTGACTTAAAAATATTTTTCATATAGCCCTCACTTTGTTGATGGTGTAGAAATTATTTGTTTTGTTTTTTTTTGTTTTTTAGATTTTGTATAAAACAATTTTGTTTTTATTAAAAAGTTTTGATATGAATTAAAAAGAGATACAAATTATTTTAAATTTGATTAACTATCTATCTTCTTAATTATAGAAACCTTTTAGCGCTGAACTTAAGATTACTTTAAAATAACTTTTATCAAAATTTTTGTAGTAAAAATTCTGTTGAAGATGATTTTTTTTCAGAATTGAATTCGTACTTTTCAGTAAAATGTTATGAAGAAAAAAACTAAAATAAAGATACTTCCTGTTTTACAGAACAGACAATTTATTTTGTTTAGTTATATATTTTTACAATTTTTGCCGATTTTTCTTTATTGTTTTATTATCATTTTAATCTTATTTATCTATATATTACAAATTTAATACTTCATATATAAATATGAGTAAATTACGTAAATAAATAACTTTAAAAAAACAATTGGTCAAATTAATCAATCTTTAGTCACATTATGTTCTTCCTTATTGTCAATTTTTCTTCAATAAAGAAAAATTTACGCAATGGCAAAAAAGAATACATGAAATTGCTATGATGAGCAACTTAAATGCTGCAATTTCAAAAGTAAAATCTTGCGTTTTATTATCTAAAGTATTCTGCACAGGGTTAAAACGGTTTGGCGCCAAATATTAAACGATTATTACACCATCTCTCGATGTAGCAATTTAAAAAATTGCTGCTTAGAGAGATGGTGAATGATGGTGAATCTAAAAAATCAGCCTCAATAATAACTCTTTAATTTCAGAAAATATTTTACGCGTCTTCAAATTATTGCAGGATTTCAGAGCACGAGTTTTTTTCCGCTAGGCAAAAACAAAGTTATCAAATCTAAAAGGCAGAAATATTTCAACCAATAAAATCTGCTTAATCTGTTCACACTTCTGTTCCATATGGTGAAACCATATGGAACAGAAGTTGAGTTAAAACGGGTTTTACCATTTCTAACTCAACTATGCTAGTCTACCGAGTTTATAGTTACTTATCCGCACACGTTAACTTTGATCGATTTTTGATCGAATTCGCAACACGCAATTTACGTACGAAAAGGCGAATTGCCTTTCCTTAGCAATATTTACTAAAGAATTTTTTTATAATCTGCCAACTAATTCATTACGTAAAACAAGTCTCTCCATCATAGATTAAATATTAGCATTATGAAAGTCAAAGAAGTTGTTGCAAGCAATGAAAAGTTTCAAATCTCGACTTTTTTTTTGTTTCTGAAATTTGATGTTTTAATTTAAATTGCACATATTTTCATCTGTTATAGCAATTAATATTGTGTACTAATTACTGTTTTATAGTTAATTAATTGTTATTATTTTTTAAAACTTCATTTAATAGTTTTTCTAAAAAGAGCTAAATCAGTTTATTAAGACTGATCAAACAATGGAAAATTAAATTATTTAAATAACAAACAATATTTGGAAAATTACTTAAATAATTCAAATAATATATATTGAATTCAAATATTTATGTGATCAATATTTACATTTGATTTTAGTGCAAAGTAAACTAGTGCACCGCAAAAATATCCCTTTAAAGGCCTTGGTACCTTGGTACCTTGGTAAACAATATGGTAGCATATTTTATTTTAAAAGGAATAAAAAAATTGGCTTATTGCTTCTGCCAAACACATGAAAACGATTTATTTATAGCAGCACTCTTGTCATTTAAATCAAATATCTAAAAGTTTGACTTCATTTTCATTTGACTAAATCTCTAATAAATCCACTAACAGCAGAGTTTCTTTTTTTATTGATTCTAACACAGCAGCATAAATATCTTAACTAACTTTTCTTTTAATTTTGTTTCAAACGAGTAAATTCTAATACCTTTTCACTAGTCTGTTGACTAGTGAAAAGGTATTAGAATTTACTCGTTTGTTTAGTGCAGTAGCTCCACGCTCAATTTTTCTAAACACTCACCTAAATCCCTAATCAAATTAACTTCTTATTTAGTAATTATTATTTCACTGGCAAACAAATCATTAAGACAGGTATCTAAAACAATTTTTATCTTACGATAACTTGAAAGCAAGTTATCGTAAGATAAAAATTGATCAAAGAATTCCGTCTTCTCTTTGTGTCAAGAATCATTGATTACACAGACCTACTAAAAAAAAAATTTTCTGGTGCCGAGCAAAGATTTAGCTTTTTTTATAGTATTTCTTATTTTGATTTCAAATATGCAATTTATTTTCATCATCGCGTCAAGTTGCAAAGATATTTGAGTTCAAATCATTAATATTTGGGGTAAAGTCGCTAATATTGTCGAAAAAAAAAGTTATCAAAAGTATGTCAACCTGGGTCTCAAAAGAAGCGTATTTTCATTGCTTGGAACTCTTGTCAATGTTTCAGCTAAATTATCTTTTGAAGGAACAGGTTTTTTCATTAACAAAAAGATAGTTTTTTGCAGAAGACTTAGTCTTCTTCAAATCAACATTTCGCCCATTGCTTTTGATTTCAATATTAATTTACCAGTAATGGCGTTAGAAACCCAATGGAATACTGTCACGGAATTTGTGAAAATAATTTTTCAATACTATTCCGCAAACCATTCCAATTTTTTTCGTTTTCACGTTGAAGCCATATTCATTCCTCGCATTATAGCATCTAGCTTCGCCATGTTTATGTGAATATCAGACATTTTTTTCGCAGCCATGATGCATCCTCAACAGTAGTTTTACCAATTTGAATAAAAGTGCCATTCGCAAAAGAACTGGCGTCAATCCACACATCACTCTTGTTACCTTAAACAGCCCAATTACCATAAACTAGATCGCGCTTTCCCACCTCATCATAAACTTCTTGAAGTACACACTTTAAATTTTCATCGCTAATTTCATTGTTTCAACCCTTTGTCAAACTAACGACTCTTCTTTTTAAAAACCTGAAAACTGCACGAAACCAAAATAAGACTAGCAAGTGACCTACTAACTTCCCACAAATGTAAAATACTACTCTTTTGTTTAACTTTTTTGGAATCGCATCACCTCAATTCTCTCTGGATCACATTAACTTGCCAACAACCTTGTACACACGTAATACCAATATTCAAATCCAATCTGTTTACTTTCCTTATTTTTCAAACTATATTTTTTAAAATGTCTTCAGACATAATCGAGACTTACAACTTTCTTATTGACAAAAATATTGTTCCCATAAGCAGAAGCTCCCCTCTTCACCAATTCGTCTTGATCAATAATGGCACTCACAACAGATTTCATAATCATTGGCGCAATATTTAATTCAAAACCAAGTTGTGTCAAACAATATTTTGTGTTTAAAAATACCACTGTTTGAATTGGCCAAAGAGATTCCTCAGTTTTTAACTGGAGATGAGCCTTGCGTAAATCAATAATTGCTGGTTTGTTTCCCATTCTTCTCCATTCCTTGTTTTTGCTTATAGACGCACTTCCCTGCGTTTTTTAAACATTTTGCAGCCACATGTCCTTCATTCCCACATTTAAAACCCAAAAATATTCATCGGGGCAAAGTTCTTTGCAAGAGAACAGTTTCTCGCAATATGATTTAACCCTTTGCAATTGTAACTCACCAACGGAACCTTTGTAGTTTGATTTCGAAACAAAGCAACAACAAAGTATCATATACACATACACGGTTCGAACCAGTTCTTACTTTGGATAACATAACATTAATTGGATCCATAACGGCTCGAAATATTGATGATAAGTCCTTGGGCAATCCAACGATAAACTCTAATCGAACAGATTCTTCTGACAATTTAGTTTATTTAGTGTATATATATATATATATATATATATATATATATATATATATATATATATATATATATATATATATACATATATATATGTATATATATATATATATATATATATATATTGGTGGGAGCAGAGCAAGAAATGTAATATATACATACCAATAATACTTCTGTAAATATTAAAAAAAGTTTTAAGTCCAATCTTTTTTATTTGCTTTTTGTTAGATCCGGTCAAATTAAACTTTCTTTGCAACTTATTAACTATTAACCTGTAAAGACATGACTGATTGGATATCTTAACCTAACATAACTGAATGGGTATCTTAGTTTAGATCTGAAATATCAGGCATGAATATAACTGAGTTGTTATAGTTAGTAGACAGATATATTGAAATATACCTGTTTAATACATTTGTTACGTATTTCTTTCTGCTACTCCCACAAAGTTTAGAAAGTTATTTCACCAGTTGGAAAAATACAAATCAGTATCTGGAACAGCCATATTTTGTCTTTAAATATCTGTTCTGTCTGGAGGCTAAACAGATAAATTGCAAAATGACTTTACAATAATGTTGTTAAATAGCTTTAAAATAAACTTATGTTCAAATTATTTGATAAGATTTCAATAACTTTTAATGTTAAAGATTTCAATAACTTTTAATGTTAAAGACTATATAACATGTTACTTCATAAGCAATTTTAAATTTAAAAAAAAATTCCCATAAACTTAAATTGATTTTGTAAAACTGTATCTTATAATTTGTAGGTTTCCATGTACCTGATTAATTAGCTTATGATTTAAAAGATAAACATCTGACAGAGGTTTAACAATTAAAATAATTTCTATAATCTATAAATAACTATAATATAAATGTATATGTATATATAATTTATTTATTAGAAGCTCATCCTTTGGAAGAAGATCTACATGTTAATTTATTCCGGAACTATAATCCTGATTATAAATCAAACAAAGATGGAAATGCTTTAATTTTAACATTTGACATAGCTTTATCGAAATTGATGAAACTGGTATAATATGTTCTGACAAAATTTATTTTTTTCTTTTATTTGTATATAAAATTGTATTTAATTTCTATGTGCATAGTTGAATGTTTTATGTTAAATCTTACTAATGTTTTAATGAGTTAACTTTATAAATTCACAGGATTGCAACTAGGGTTTCTCATTTCTCTTTAATTTTGCATTCCGGGATTCCTGATGTGAAGGTTTCTATATACCGGGATTTCTAGGGATCCCTTAATTATTTTTATTTCATTTCATCTAAAATAATAATTTAAATATAATCACAAACAAGTGATTTCTAGCACATATTTATATTAGCACATAAATCTAAATTATTTTTTAAATTAAAATATTGTTTTAAAAAACATAAACAATCAGTTGAATTATCACTTAATCATGAACGTATTTTCCCCTTAAATAGACCCGACGCAGATAATCTCTTAATCTTAGATAATCTCTTTCTAATTCAATCAATGTCAGTATAATGGCCATTAATGCTAAGTATAGATTTTCTAAACTTTCGTTACGCTATAATGTTGTCTTAACATTTTTATTGGGTTTTTTAAATTGCAAGAGTTTTGAAGGCTTTCTTTCGCTGTTGCTTTTAATACATGTTTGGAAGGTAAAATTAATTTTGAATTGATATTTGATTTGTAGTTTTAAGTGAAGGGTTATGTGAAACTTTATTAAGTCAACTAAATTGATATTTCTGCGTCCCACAATTCTCTGCTGCACAGATTATTAGCAAATAAGTTATTTTTCTCCGTTAAATCGCTAAACTGAAGGTGTATTGAAAAATATCAATACAGATTCTGAATCAAGTAGAGCAGCATTACTTCTTCCAAGCCTTATATATAAATAAATTATAATAGTTAGCCCTAAATATGTGGTGCCATAAGTACAATGGCTGCAGAAGATTTAAAATTGTTTGTTGTAATCGACTTCTTTCTCCACAGCATGTATGAAAGTAAGAAATGTAGCCGGTTTTAGCTTCACAAACCATTCTTATAAGAATTCCGTATTTTGTCATTTTTTAATCATTATCAACTTTGAAGGATTGGTAACCTCTCCATAACAACCTCTTAATGACAACCTTTTCATGACACGGTGCTTTCATTTGTAGATAATTCTCGCTGCGGTTTGTGAACTTCTCTAAATTTAAGTTAAATGTAAGAAATAATAGGACGGATCTTTTTAAGGCAATGGTTATCCTGTCCATCAGTATTATTAGAAAAATGCCATGAATATCATATTTATCAAAATTAATCCCAGCTCATTACTTGAGCAAAAATTGGAGTTTGAATTGCTTTGTTCGTCGACCAATATTTGTCCCTAGTATATTTTATGGAATCTACCTATAAGTAGAAGTAGTCCTAGCATTTTTTTAGTTCCAATACGGACACTTCATTCCATTTAAAAGATTTTGCACGTTGTCTTTTCCTAATCAGTATAGTACTTCATTGTCACTTTCTTAAAAGTTGCTAGATGATATTGGCAGGATTCTGCTTCTTCTAACTTAAAACACTTCCTCGTCAGTTTTGCAAAAAACATCACATGCTGTTAAATGAAGTCCATAACACATCTGATTAACCACTTAACTGTTCAAATATTTTCATTATAGATACTCCGTCAATGACATTTGCAATGATGTGCCTTTACATTATTAAGTTGAAATCTAATTATTTCTTTTTTACTAAATCCACAATTTTTTATGCAAGAAGTGATCCAATTACTGGAGTTTTCCCTAAGTTCCAAAACCTTGCTGATAAGTGTAAATTTATATTTAAATAACGTTGATTTTTTCCAAACCTATATTCGTTTAACAATAAAGAAAATTGTTACCTCCAAGATATTTCTTTTATTATTTCCAAAATCACACTTTGTTTTGCTAAATCATATTGTTTTTTATCATATTCATAACATGGAATGAATTTTTTGTAATACTATGCTTTTTTCTGATAATGATTTCCTAATGAGTTCACTTTTTATGACATTTATAGAAAAGCCGTTGCTAGCATTTACAGGCTATTAAGCTTCCTCAATAGCCTGCTGTTTAACAAACATTGTGATCTTTTTTTTTTTTGCACAATTCCAATTTCCAATTCACTGTCTTTATATGGACGCTTTATGTCTAAATCCATTGTTTTGTGCGCATTTTTTAAATAACGAAGAAGCCGCTTTTAGAAAATCCTTTGCACACTATTTTTACCCCGCAATTTTTGCAATACTCAATGCAACTAAGGCATAGTAGTCCAGTCAAATAAGATAATTTTTGGTAAAAAATTATTATAAAGCTGAAACTTTGCCCAGTAATTCCCAAAGGTAAATAGATGACGTAAAAAAAATGTCCCACGATTCCCAATAGGAGACCCCCCTTTTTCGGGTCCAATTTCTAAATGACGAATGCCCAAAATGGTCAAAAAAACATATTTTCGAAAATTGACTTATTATTTACCATTTCAAATTATTTTTTATGCTGAACAACTTTTTGAAAGACACTAAGGTCTTAAAATGAAAGGACGACTAGTTATTTAACAAGTAAATACTATAAATAATACATTAAGTGATTTTTTTTTGAAAGTTTTAATAAAAACTCTCATTAAAATGGTCAGTTGTCACATTTAATAAGATCTAAGTTAATTAGTTTTTTTTTTTTTTAATTATATTTCTGCATTGAGAAATCAGGAAAACATAACATGTTACTGTTGTCATCTTCATAATTTTTCATTTCGTTTTCTTCTTTAATGTCGTTGCCCTAGAGGAAATAGATAAGCAAATATACGACTGATATTTTGTAAAAATATCAGTCGTATATTTGCTTATCTATTTCCTCTTGGGCAGCGACATTAAAAAAGAAAACGAAATGTATATGTGATAATAAAAATAAATGATGAGAGAACACGTTTTTTTTCTAATTTTCATTGTTAAAATTTACCTAGCTATTTACACATTCAGTTCCACGACATTCCCCACAAACTTGCAAGCACCGTATTCCATATTTTCTGCACGTGCATGCTTTGCCACCACATAGGTTTTTTGTTTTTGTCTTATTGATTGCAAAAAAGGAACTTGTTGTAGTTAGAAATAAAAAATATTTAAGTTTAATATATATATCGATAAAGTTTTGTAAGAACTTTCCAAGGTGTTCGAAAAAATACATTAATTTCAAAACAAACCTTGCAATTACATCTAATGACCATTGTAAGTGCTTCTGTCTTTATCGTTCATTATAGGTGTGATTACTCCGTCGTGCTGTCAGCCCCATTCAGTTGTATCTAGTTAAATATCATCAATCAGTGACCACAATATTATTTGAAAATGCGCGCGCAGGCCATGGAAGTAAGCAGCTTTATCAGTAGGTGAAAGTTTTACTGGCAATATAATACCCTTGCATGCCTCATTGATGTATTTATAATACCTGAATATAATAATAAAATTAAGATAACTATTTTTATACAATTAGGATTCTTTTGCTAGATAGAAAATAATTACCTCAATTTCGCAAGTATGCTTCCCTTTGTTTCTACATATTTTTTTTTTTTTTTTTTTAAGTTGATTAAGGTGCCCCAAGAAGTCCTTACGGTCTTATCACAGAGCACCGCGGAAGAGCATTTAACAGGAAGTTCACGCCTCCTTCCCAACCGATGTCGCAAAACTTGCCCAGAGGTGGGGTTTGAAACACGGATCTTACGTTTCTGAGGCAAGTGCGCTACCACTGCGCCACGGCTGCTAAATATAACATATAACAAAATAAAATTTTCAATTGAGGCGTTTCCAACTTCATGATTTTTCCATGGACTTTTTATTACTTCTGATATTTTTTGCCATTTCTCGTACAAGATTTTTTTAACTAGTTTTGTTTTATTTTTTCCAAACACAGACGAAACAGTGTCACACCCCAACCATGCATGGATAAAGAGCAGGAGTTGTTCTATGGTTTTGTTTTTTAAGCAAACACCCTTAATAATCCAAGCTTTATCTCATTTATCTTGCAAAAGGTAAATGTCAGACATGTTGCTTTTGCAATAATTAATAAGCATCACTGCGATTATATGTGTCATCAGCCACAACAGTTACATGCTGCAAGCTTGTGTTTGCGATATCAAGAGCGGTTTTAACAACGGTGCTTTCAGCATCACCAAAGCAGTTTACAGTCAAATACCCCAATTGATTTTATGCTCTTAAAGAAAATTTATGAAGTTGGCTTTGGTTTCAATTTTACTTAGAAAAAGAGTAAACGGCACAAGTTTATCTTTGTTAGTTACTACATTGAAGCTTTGTGGAATAGAATTTCTGCGTAGATGCTCGTGACTCTTTGTGCCTTCATAGCTGTCAAAAAATAATCTTGACGAATCCCTGATAATTTTTTTCAATAAAATTTGAATAAGAATCTGGTATAGCATTGAGTTTCATTCCTTTAAACCATTTGATTTTTTCTTTTAATATTTGCGTCTTCAAAAAATACGTTATCCAAACCATTCTGAATACTTTTACCAACTTCTTCAGCAAGCTCATAGTTTACACCATCTTTATAAGTAAATAATACCATATCAGTCGACAGTAAATGGAGATTTTTGTCAAGAACACAGATTGGGTTTCAATCAACTAACCATTAATAAAACTTTCTTACAATCTTCGTAATGTTGCTTTGTTCTTAACTTTCCAATTTCTTCATGTTACTCACTGGAGTTTACCGATACAACTGTTAGTTGATTCATTGCATCGTGTATTGAATTTATCTGTGAAAGGCTTAATGCCCACACGTGATGGACAGATTCTGACATTCCACGGCCACCAGTCAATCCACCCATTGACTTTAAAGATCGCATCATAGTATGTTCAATTGCAAGATCAGTCTAGATGCAATTCCTTTGTTCTCGTTGCACAGTATGGTTACCACCTGTATATTCTCTATACAGCCAAGGATGCGTTCCTAGAAGCTTTTTCATTTCTTGCAAATATAATTGGGCACTCTTTGCATAATGAATGTGTCCTGTAGCTGCATA